CCAGCACCAGTCCCCCATCAAGAAGCTCCTGTTCACCCTAATCCTGCCACATATTTTTGAGGCAGACCAACTCTGACGGGATTTTTTCTTTTCCCCTGAAGCACCTCTCCTGTCTCTTCCACCCTGAATAAAAGTGTGTTATCTCCTGTTTTTGAGTTTTAAGTCTCTTTTTCTCATACACGAGAGCCCTGACATTTCTGGCATCTGTAGCCCTGAACTTGCATGCCATTGAGTGTTTTAAATTGCTTGTCAGGGCCCCAGTTCTGCTGTCAGCTAGAAGGTAGCTCTGTACCTTGACCACACAGATTACGTTTCTTCCCATCTCCATGTACCTTTGTCTAGCAATCAAGTGTCTATGTTTAAGCATGGCAGAGGGTCGGGGTGAGGGCTGTATGCCTGGCTCTTATCCAGAGGTAGCACTGTATTTGTGAGACAACCCACATTGCCCCGAATTTTTTAGACCAATCCCTACAATGTACTGTTGGCATTCAGTCCATCATTGTCCAGGCTTATAAGGAAATTCTCAGCAGTTTGTATTTAGTTTCAACAATCTAAATGGGTCATGTTTTCTTTTCATACCCTGTCCCTACACAGTTATGGCCATTTCTTCTTTTCTGGTGGGCCTACAAGTATTAAAGACTGTTGGATGGCAGGTTATTACAAGCAAAGGATGAGTGGGAGTCTGCACCCTAGACAGCTTGGGCTAAAGGACCCCTTCCCTACCTCTCCAGTCCTCCGGCTCTCTCCTGCTTGGAGGATGTCCGTGTCTGCCACTCCATCCCATCTCAGCATGCTCCTCTGACTGCCTACTGTCTGCCTCCATCTCAGCCCTGTGTAGTCTTTGGGATTCGAGAAACCACTGTGTTTACGGGCCCGTGAAGATTTCTCTTCTGCATTAGACTGTGGTTACTTAGAGTCTTCGTGCTGTAGTCAGGGCTGGGGAGAGGAAAATGGTGGAGTGAGTGAAAACGGAAAAGAGGAGGTGGGAATTGCATAGAGTAATACTTTGAAATGTAACCCCACCACATGCCACTTAGAATGAGAATCTTTCAGTCTGATTCTGAATAATTTAAACAGCATTATTTTGGCAGTTTAATTATGAAAATAATGGCTTGAGGTCTATTATCTCAGTGGTTAAGGTGACGGGACACTCACATCGAGACAACTGGAAAATATCAAGTGAAGAGTCATGTATAATCTGTGACATACAGGTATTAAAATGAAAGTAGTAGAGTTTTCTCTAGATTTGTTCCATAAACTGCCATTCAGCCCTACAAGATGAGTTTGGCCAGATGTTTTCCAGTTAAATCGGTACAACTTGTCTCTACAAATGATAACGTCTGACTTTGTTCATTCTTTATCAGATTCTGTGCTCTAGACCTTACAAATAGATATTATCTCATATGGTCCTCAAAGCAACTCTGTGAGCTAGTTTATTTTATCTTGGTAAGTATAGAATTCCTGTTTTACAGAGTAGGAAATTGAGCTTTAATTTTGCCAAGGGTCACACAGCTATTAAGTGGTGGTATTCAAACCAAAGTCTTAGTGACCCCCACAGCCCCTGCTCCTAACCCCACATCGCACCTTCACTATGGGACCACACGTAGGAAAACAAGAGTCCAAGCTGACTCTGGCAAAACCCTGGCATCGCCACATCCTGAGTGTGAACTCAGTTTGAGGACACAGGATGTACCAAAGCAGGGGGCATGCTGAGATACCTTCCTGGGCTTGGAGAGATGTTCTGGAGCTGACAGACCCTTGAGGACTTAAGATAACAGCCCCTCTTTTGTGTAGATGTGCATTTAAGTCTGGGTATGTAAGCAGGAATTGTCCCAGCAGAAGGGCAACTGATTTTATTGTTTTATTTTTTCCCTTAAAATATTTTAATTCTTTCTTTTTTCCCCAATTTTTATTAATTTATTTTTGTTACAGATGTTTCTCCTTTTCCTCCGCAGACCCCCCACCCCCAGCATTGTTGTCTCTGTCTATTGGTTATGCATACATGCATATAAGTTAATTCTTTTCTTTAGGTAATAACATTCACATGAATCAAAAACCAAACAATATAGGTCTTCCTACCCTTCAGCCCAGTTTGTACCACATTCCCTTTCTCATGGATATTTTTTCAGAGTTCCTTTTATGGTAAAATAAATAAATATAAATTTGTATTCTTTTCTCTCTCTTTTTCTATATAAAAGGTAGTCATTTAAAAATCCTGTACCTTCCTTTGTTTTTGTCACATAGAGATTTCTCTTGGATATCTTTTCAAAACAGCACACCCAGAGAGCTTCCTCATTCTTTTGTACAATGGCTTACTATTTCATAGAGTTATATGTATTATTATTTATTAACCAGTCCCCTTTTAATAGACATTTGACTTGTTTCCAGTCTTTTGCTCTTACTAACTGATGCAATGAATAGCCTTGAATTATGTCATTCTGCATATATGCATGTATATCTATAAGAAAAGTTTCTAAAAATAGGATTGCTGGGTTAAAAAATGTGCATTTATAATTTTTACTGATAATGCCAACTTACTTTCACTAAGGATTGTACTAAAGTTTGCACTCACACCAGCAATGTATGAATTTCTCACAGTCTTGCCAACAAAATTAACACATTTTGGGGTTTTGGCATTTTGGCCCATCTGATTGATAAATATGTTTGGACTTTGGCCCATCCAATGCAATAAAATATTGTAGGTTTCTTACTATGATTAAAGTTAAACAACTTTTCATATGTTTTTTTTTTTTTTTTATCCTCACCCGAGGATATTTTTCCATTTTTTGTACAGATAGGGTGGGAGGGAGAGAGAGGAAGGGAGAGAGAGAGAGAAACATCGACGTGAAGGGACACATCGAGTGGCTGCCACCCGCACGACCAACCAGGGCTGGGGACAAACTGCAACCGAAGTATGTGCCCTTAGCGGGAACCGAACCCGGGTCTCTCCGGACCGCAGGCCGACACTCTAACCGCTGAGCCAAACTGGCCAGGGCTCATATATTTTAAGAGCCATTTGTATTTTCTTTTCTGTGGATATTTCCTTGTTGATTTTTTGTTTGTTTGTTTTTTCAATTTTGGCTTATAGGTCTTGTCAATTTCTAAGAGCTCTATATATTTGGGAAAGTAGTAATTGTCAGTGATATAAATTGAACATACTTTTTTCTACTTGGCTTTTTTCTTCTTCTTGATTTTTATATGGTCCAATGTGTTAGTCTTCTCTTATGCTGAGCTTCAGTCCAAAGTTAGAAAGGTTATAAGAGTGTTTTTCAGGTTGCCATCCAGTACTTCATGGCTCTAGATTTTTTATTTAAATTTTTTTTATCTGCTTGATGTTTATCTTGGTTTACAGTATAATGTTTGGATCCAACTTTTGTATTTGCAGATGGCTATTCAGTGGTACCACACCATTTATTAAATAACTGTTGATAATTTAGTGCTCACTGGTTTGAGATGCCACCTTTATCAATGTTATATGCATATATGTGTGTGTGTATATATGTTATATGTATATGTGTGTATATATATATATACACACATATACATGGTTTTATTTTAGAATAAAAAAAACTCAATTTTTCTATTGTAGATCTAGAGAATTTCTTTTTTATTGTGGTAAAATATACATAATATAAAATGTATCATTTTACCCGTTTTTAAGTATGAAGTTTAGTGGCATTAAGTTCATTTGCACTCTTATGCAACCATCTCCGTCACCTTTCTCTAGAACTTTTTCATCTCCCCTCCATATGACTTGGAATCAAGTGTACTATTCACTTTATGATATACTTTCCACTGGTAAAGTGTGCTGATTTCACAGATGTTAAAATGTGGGAAAGTGTACAACTTAGCATTTATGAAATACCATCCTAAATTTCCAAATGTATTTGGTGCATTTCTGGACATTCTGTTGTATTTCATTGGTTTGCCCCTTCACGAACCAGTGTGACATTGTTTTAATTATTAAAAATTTAGACATATTTTAATATATACTTTTTTTTTTTTGGTATGTGCCCCTAACGGGAACCGAACCTGGGACTCTCTGGTCCGCAGGCCAACGCTCCAACCGCTGAGCCAAACTGGCCAGGGCTATTTTAATATATAATACAGCTAGTTTTTCCTCACTTGTCTTTTTCCAACTATTCTTGTCTATCTGTTCAGATAAACTAGGTAGCCTCTCCTTGGCTCTTGTAAATCTTCTTTCCCTCCCTCTTTCTGCCTCTGTTCCACTGAAATTGTAAAAACTCGCATATAGAAGACCTCCCTCTTATGCCTGAAGATCAGCCATCTGTCTGGATGAGAGTAGCTTCTCTGAAAGTTTAGGTATCTTCTCAACTTTCTTTCTTTTTTTATATATTTCATTTATTTAGCTCTTTCAATGTTTTGTTTTGTTTTTAAATTTATTTTTGTTACAGATGTTTCTCCTTTTTGTCCCCACTGACACCCTCCTCCCCATCCCCCCCACCCCATCCCCAGCTTTGTTGTCCGTGTCCATCGGTTATGCATACATGCATATAAGTTCTGTGATTTATCTCCCCCTCCCAACCCCCTCTTCTGAGGATTGTCAGTCTACCCTACTTCCACGTCCCCGGGTCTCCCCTGTTCCTCACACTGTTATCTTCATTATATTTCTCCTCCTGGGTTTTTACTTCAGCATTGCCATGGGAGGTACAGTCCATTCCTGAGCTGCACTGTCGCATACAGGGGAGACGCTACCATGAAAGTTCTTAGGCTCATTTACTCCGTTTGTGGCTTGTACATAGAATGTCAGCCTTTTTCAGCAAAGTAAGCATTGTTTGTACAACGATGAAAAAATCTTAAATGTTCGCAGCCACTTCAGGGTTTAATGTGGTTCACTAATGCATTCAGCCTCAGTAAAAGTTTGTTGGTTTGCCAGTTATTCCTATTAAACTTTTAGCATTTTAAATATTGTATTACTAGAAAATTGGCTTATTTGCATTCATAGATCATAATGCGTTTCTTTTTTTGTTTTACTGAAGAACCCATTGTAAGAGCCAGTAAATCCTGTGGAAAATGGCCTTCAGCGATCTTACATCGAGGACTGTGCGTCTTTATGGTAATTGGATCAAGGATGCTGGTAAGTAACCATATTTCCTAATTGAGGCTCATCCTTCCTTTTTATGTCAGATCCCCATATTTAATAGGATTTCACTGAAACATAGTGAGAAACTTTGAAGTTTAACACTCCCTCAAGGACACCCGAAATATTATGTTTATTACTAATTAGTAAAGAAGAAGTGTGAGGGGTTTCATTACAGATATGTACAGTGATAGAGCTACACAGATGTTCATTATGATGTTTATATTAGTGAAAATAGTTTTAATATCCAATGAAGAGAATTGCTTAGTAAATGATGGTACATTCCAACTGAGCCATTAAAAGTGATTTGGAGGCACAGTGCTCTTAGCTTGATTCTGCCCTAATGCTCCTAAGGGAGATAACAGTTATTGCCAACAATGGCTCTATTCAGGGTGCTTCTTGAATGCCCCCCCCACACACACACACACCAGAGGTGTATTAGAAAGGGCAGGGAGTGTTTCCTAGGGTAACCCCTAAGTAATTCTAAAATGTCTGCTTTCCCCCCCTTGCCCATTAAAAAAATATCAGCGTTATAGAAAAACATTTAATCTCACAGAAAGAAGCTTAAAATACGTTAACTGAAAACAGGTTATAAAAGAGCACACATTTCTTTTGTGAGGATTAGCAGTTATCTCTCTATGGTAGGATTATCTGTAACTTGTTATTTACTTATCTATGTCTAGATTTTCTTAAACCACTAAATGTGTGTTGCTTTTATAACCGTTACAAAATGTTCTAAAAATATAACAAAGGTAAATTTTTAAAAATAATCAGAGCATTTTAGAGCTGAGATGGACTTAGATATTATCTAAGCTAAGTCTTCATTTTAGAGTTGAAAAAACTGAGGCCCAGAGATGTGACCTTGACAACATCAAGGTTAGTTGTTGGCAGAAAAAAACTAGAACCTATGTTTTCTGATTAGGATTAGTCTGGTTTCACATTTGAATTATATTACACATGTTCACCACCATCACCAATTTCGATTAGTTTTTACCTGTCAACCCGAAATCGCATGATGACCAAATTCAGGAGAAAAAAGTGCTACCTCTTGGTACCTACCACAATTGGAATTATATTCCATTTAACATTAATTTCAGCCACAATACATCGTTTCATGTTTGCCATCATTTTCAGTAGACTGCTGAGACCAATTTTATTTCACTAAGAAAAGGTCCTGACAGTTTTACCCGTGAAGAATGCCAAGGATCTCAAAAAGATCCCATAAATAGAGATGCTTCACTCTGATATGGAAATAAAGAGTGAATATTTCCATATCTTCCGCTCTTCTCACCCTCCTTCTCCTCCTCCTCCTTCTTCTACTAGTTTTTCAATTTATGTTATGATGCAGAGAACATATAGGTTTGTTTAGAGGTCATTTTTCTCTGAAGGTTTATAGTAGTTCTCATAAATTCAGTATTTCATTTAAACACTATTCTTTTTGTTTTCTAATGGTTTTTGGTTTTGTTTATTTATTTTAAAAAATACTAATATTTTGATTGCTTTTCAAAGTAGAGGTATACCTTGCTACCTGAACTCTCATGATTTGAACTTGGGAACCAAGTATATTTGGGTACAGTTTTTGAAATAGGCCTGTTTGGAAGAACAGATCCCTTGCTATTAAACCCTTGCTGTTCACTATTCCAAATGCAGGAGCCCAAGAGATTAGGATAATCAATATGCTAACTCAAGAGCCAAATTGATTTAAACAATGATAAATATCTACATAGTGCTAGAAGTATAAAATATTAAAAAGTGAACTTCTTCTGAATTCCACTTCTACTTTTATTCATGGATCAACTCTTTACTTTTTATTAGGAATACTTACATTTAAAAGCTGAATAATATTAGGTCAAAAAAAGGCATGACCAAGGGCTGGGGTGGCTATGGAGACAAGGAGAGCCCGGAGACAGTGTTGCAAACAGTACAAGAAGGATGAGAGGAAGAGGCAGGCAGTGCTACATATCTGAGGTTTGGCTAATTTGAAGTCTTGAGAGGAGGGAAGGTATGGGATATGTAATGGGAAGACCTAAATGTAAGTTCTGACACTACTGTGTACTATCTAGGTGATCCGGAACCAACGATTTGTTGTCTGTGAGTCTCAGTTTCTTTGTTAGCAAAACCGATGACAGTGGTACCTGCCAGCTACCAGATAGTATACATCAAGTACTTCTGTCATTTGGAAAGTTTCCCAATGCAAGTGGTGGTTACAGATGATTGATAGAGCATTTTCATCTTAAAATACTTTCAATAGGGCATACCACCTTTTAAAAAAGTTTTTCTTTAAACTTTTTCTTGGACTCTGGAAGGGTTGAAAGGTTTTGTGTTGAGATTTACATCTTATAAGAACACTTTCAGGTAAAGGAGGAGAAGTCTTTTGCTTCTGTGTTGTGTGGTATTGATCTCTGAAAGCCATTAGGAATCGTTTCTGGCCATCTTAGTTCAGTTTTACTTTGCTCACCCTGGGAAGTTCTGAGCACCTGATCAAGGGCCAAGAATTTCAAGTGTATTCTTGGCTTTGGCCCTAATCCTGAGTCACCTTCAGGAAACTTCCTGGTATTCTTTGGTTTTCTTATTGCTAGAGAAGTTGTGATCATGCATAGGTAGTTCATGTGGAAAATTCCACAGCTACAGAATTTAAAAATGGTTTAATTAATACTTAAGCTATAAGAGGATTTATTATGATTCTTAGCTATGAAGTGTCAAATTTTAAAATTAATTATAATATTTTCTAACATTTAATAAGCAACCTTCCTTGTATTTGGGTAATAATAACTTTGTAGACTTAGTTGTGATCTTTTTGCAAGAAGATGGAGCCTGAGTAAAAGTGTTGACATTCTGAACCTTTAGCACGCCCCCAAGTACTGAGATACATGCTTGCTTTTCCTTCCAGCTTCTTCATCTTATTGGGGCTTGGAAGTTTAAAGGGAGTGCTCTGTGAGCTAGAACATGTTACTTGAAAAGAGAATACTGACTTACAAGCAGTTGATGGACAAGTTCATTAATATTCTATGCATGTGGCACTTGTACTTCCCCCGCTTTCTCTCTCTCTCTCTCTCTCTCTCTCTCTCTCTCTCTCTCTCTCTCTCGAACACTTAGAAAAGAACGGTCAGGCTGGTAACAAGTCAGAACATTGACACTCCCTGGGGTCTGGCCTCTCAGAGTCAGCCATCACACCTTCTGCTTTCATCTCGGCTCTACTCACGACACCTAAATCCAACTCTAATGCCCAATAGAAGATGCATCATCACCATTTTGACTCTGGGGGAACAGAGCTCACCTCATCCATAAGCCTTCTGTAATTTGTGAAATCATAGACTGAATCAGGATTAACTTTAAATGTCATCAAGCAGCCCCCTCTACCACTGCCCCTAGCAAGTCATCATCCATACCTGACTTGTAAACTTTTCATCATGGGGAGCCCACTACCTCACCTGGAAAATAAACAGTTGTCAGAGTCATGAACATAATATTAAATACTTTGAATTTTATCAGCTCAGTAAAGAGAGCTAATTTATGCAGAGGAATAATCTGGGCAGCTATACTTTTAGGAATTTGGCTGCTGTATGGAAGACCGGATGTAGCTGATTGGATTGGGAGGCAGGGAAACCACATAAATGACTAACTGCAGGGCAATAGTGACGGACTCTGAGGCCCTGAATGTAGGAGAAAGAAGCTCACTAAACCTCTGGTTCTCAATTCTGACAGTTCATCATGGTCACCTGGGTAACATTTTTCAAAATATGGATGCCTGGGACCCATATGGACCCTAGGATTCTGATTCAGCTGGGTCTTTTAAATACTCCAGAGGTTGCCCAGCCTGGTGTGGCTCGGTGGATTGAGCATCGTCCCATTGCCTGAGAGGTGTCGGTTCGATTCCCGGTCAGGGCACATGCCAGGGTTGCAGGCACCATCCCCAAAAAGGGACGTGCAGGAGGCATCCGATTAATGTTTCTTTCTCATATTGATGTTTCTATCTCTCTCTCCCTTCCTCTCTTTCTCTAAAAAAAATCAACAAAAAAATTTAAAAAACAAAAAACTGAGAGGTGATTCTGCTCTGCTGACAGAATTGAGACCTGCTGTCATAATAGTAGCAGCACTTACTAAGGACTTAGCTCTGTGCTGGGCTCTTTACATACAGTAACTCACTAAATCCTCTATGAGATACTTATGGTTTCATTTTACTTTATTTCTTAATTATAGTTTACATTTAATATTATCTTGTATTACTTTCAGGTGTACAGTGTGGTTGTGAGATAATCATATACTTTACCAAGTGTTCCCCCTGACATTTCCAGTACCCACCTGGCACCGTACATCGTTATCACAGTATTACTGCCTATATTCCCTATGCTGTACTTTACATCCCTATGACTATTTTGTAAGTACCAATCTGTACTTCTTAATCCTTTCACCTTTTTCACTCAGTCCCCCAAATCCCCTCCCCATAATACATGCTTTTTTATGCCTCATTTACAGATGGGGAAACTAAGCAAAGAGACTTTAAGTCAGTGATGCCACATAACAAGTCAACAGGGGAGCGGGGATCAAAACTCCAGCGCTTTTCTGAAATAGGATAAAAAAGCTTAGTGTTTTGTTTTATTATTAGCTTAAAAATAACAAGAAATCAAATTAATTAGCTTTTCCCTAAGGATTTATGATTTTTAAAAAAAATCTGTAGAACTTGAAAGTCAAACACAAGGTTTTTAAAAAGGTATGTGCTTAAAATGTTAAATTATAAGAAAAAGTTATTTATTTTAAATTTTCTTCTGCTTCCTGAGCCAGCCCAGCATGCTTTTCCTGCTCATTTTATTTGTATTGTTACCAGCAGAATAGCAGAAAGATGATGTCATTTGACTTTCTCCCCCTGCTGAGTCAATGAAAGAGTAAAATAAAACATATTTCCAATTTAGGAATTCCTTTACTGACACTTTTAAAGAAAGGAGTTTTCCATCATTCATGTGATATGTGTTAATAACAGAAACATTTAGAAAATAATAAAAATCATTTGTACTGTCGCCATCCAAAGGTGATGTTAATTAACATCCTCGCAGGGGTTCGTTGGTACTGGTTTTAAGTCCTTATTTCATTGGGGATAAAAACTAGACATATTAATGTGGCTTATGTTATTTGTGAATTTAAGGGTTGGATTACCCACTGATAGAAGAAATCCATTCAAGTTTGATCAGTTCTAATTCTGTCCCTTGGTCCCCAGTTGTGTGACAACTTTATTTATTTATTTACTTTTTTATGAAAGGAGAGGGAGAGATAGAAACATTGATAAAAGAGAACATCGATTGGCTGCCAACTGCACGCTCCCCACTGGGGGATTGGCCCACAACCTGGGCATGTGCCCTGACTGACAATCGAACCAGTGACCACTTGGTGCATGGGTCAATGCTCAACCACTGAGCCACACCGGCCAGGTGTGTGACAACTTTTATATACTGAGACTTCCCAGGTGAGATATGGACCTGCGGCTAGGGTGCTTGTGGCCTTTTTAATAGGGTATGGTACACAGATGTCCCCAGAAACCTGTGAAAGGGAAGGAAGGAAGCTAATAGAAGCAATAGAAGACTTTAGTGACAAGTTCTTGTATAGCTGACTTCAGAGCCTTTCCTGACTTAAACTATGACAATGTTAATTTTAAATTATTTTTGAGAACTTTGTATTTTTATGGCTGTCAGCAAACTTTTGTTAAGTTGCTATTTGGGTAGGAAGTCAGACTTGAAGGATATTTAGAGTTTTTTTGGTAATTGACTACATTATTAGTAGTTTAAATGAGCAAGGGCTGTATTCTCCCCATCTCTCTGCCAACTCATAAAAGTGCCGGTATTTAGCAACCTAAGGTTAGTCAAGACTCAGTTTTGAGTCAGACGCACCTGTCCATACTTATTTTCCTTTATAATGCTCTGGCTTCATGAGGCAATTTAGTAAAATTACCCCAAACTACGTAAGATTATAGAATTAATCACATTTCATCTTGAGTCCCTTCTTACTCTCCTGTCTTGGAACCAGCAGCGACCAGGTGAGTTTCTTTTTACTTAGTTGTAAGGCTATTACATTTTTTTTGGTTCAAAATATCAGGTTTGGACTCTTAAAACCCACACTTTATATACTTAGGTGATGCTCAGGTCGCTTTCAATTTTATGATTCTATGATGCAATATATATAGAAAGGTCCCAGTTTTCTTGGAGAAAGAACATTAAGAAACAGAAAACACAAACATTTTAGTATATAGAAGAATGTCTGGATGGAGGAACTCTAAAATGTTACTAGTGGTTATGGTAGATGGTGGAGCCTCGCTAAGTGTCTTCTGTCCTCCAGATCCACTCTGCATGCTGTGCTGGGCCCTGGGAATGGCCAGTATGGATTATGTCCATGAGCTTGCTCCCCTGCCTGGTTTCTGGTTGGATTTAGCCAATGGAGAACCCCAGGAAACTAGAGAGAGGGAGGAGGGTGGTGTTGGGGTATCAGTTCCTCTGGCCTCTTCCTTGCAGGATTGTCTTGTGCTGCCTGAATCCCTCAACTGAAGGTCCTTTCCAGAGGGTTTCCCCATATGACTTTCTCCTGGGTTGTGGTAACCACTACCTCCCTCTGCCCTTTGAGACCTATGGTGCTAACAGCCTCATTATTTACAACCCTACCACTATCCCTGATGATTTCCCTTTACCCTGAAGATGGTAGTGACCATTGCCCAAATAGTCTCTGTCAATGTTAGGACTAGGTGGTCGCTTAAAGAAATGCTGGTTGCTGTCACTTATGTTTTGGCTAAGTGGATGTGCATTTACATCTTGTTTTTCTCTTAGATCCAAGAGTTGAAGACTGGTTCCTCATGTCCTCACCTCTGCCACAAACCATCATCTTGGGGCTCTATGTTTATTTTGTCATGTCTCTGGGACCAAAGCTCATGGAAAATCGAAAGCCCTTTGAACTCAAGAAAGCGATGATAACGTACAATTTTTTCATAGTACTCTTTTCTGTATATATGTGTTATGAGGCAAGTGTCTTTAGTATTCCTAATGGGAAATTTTTGCTGAAGTCTTCTGTTTATCTGTCATTATGTTTCTGTAAAATTCTTCAAGATTTAAGGAATTTTAGAAACTTAGCTTACTAAAGCAGGGATTTGCCACAAAAATGTTATGTATAAAGCATAGAGGATCTAAGTATAATTTACTCATAGATAATGAAAAAAAATTAACATTAAGTCCAGGGACTTGCACATAGTTGGCCGTTTAAAGATGATTGGATGAATCCATAAGTGTTAATTTTAAGCAAACATACTTGGAGAAATAAAGTAACTTACTCAACGTAGCATAGCTGGTTAGTGAAAGACTAATATTCGAATCCGGGTCTGACATCGGAGTTAATCCAGACTTTAATAGTTGTGATTCTCATGGTAGGAATCTTTAGTTTCTGCATGCTCTGATGAGCTGTGATGGTTGATTGTTTTGGTTTGGTTTAGCTGAGCTTTGAGGAAATAGAGAACTTAGACTCACACAAAGCAGTAGTTAAGGGAGCCTGTCCCTTAATTGTCAGTAAGAGAGACGGGGCTCTTTCCAGACCCAAAAGCAGACTCATGGATTCACTTTCCCTCCCTCTGCTATTAACGTGCCTCAGGCACCATCACTGCTTTTCTGAGATTCCTTGCTTCCCCCCCAATACTGGCTCGCTTCCTCTTCATCATCGCCTGTGCTTCCTCATACTGGGATCCACAAGAGTCCAGCATGGCCCCTCTGGCCTCTCCTGACACTGTGGTGTCTGCACATGCATCTTTCCAACCTAATTCCCACTTGAATCCACCTGATCGGATCACCCTCAATCTGTTCTGGCTTAATTTCCCACAGGCCTCCCTGAAGCCTGCACTTACTCTGCTGTCTTCCATTTCTTCTGTTTTATTTCAAAAATTAACACACAGGCCACCTTACTATGCTTTCTGGAGCATGAGTAACTGAAAGGGAAGAAGTAATAGAGCTGGGAACAGAGAAAATACATGCTCTTGGCATGTTATCAGAGATAGGATATAGTCTACTCTAGGACCGTCTTAAGAACAGACCTGGTGCCCTGGCTGGTTTGGCTCAGCTGTTAGAGTGTCAGCCTGCAGACCGAAGGGTCGCAACCAATCAATGTGTCTCTCTCACATCAATGTTTCTCTCTCTCTCTCTCTATCTCTCCCTCCCTCCCTCCCTCCTTCCCTCCCTCCCTCCCTCCCTCCCTCTCTGTCTCCCTTCCACTCTACCTAAAAATCAGTGGACCCCGGTTAGTCCCAGTTATGCTTCTAACTAGCTATTTGATTTTGAGCAAGTCATTTAATCTTTCTGGACCTCAGGTCTCCCATTTTATAGAGTCAAGATTGAACCAAATTGTCTCTCAGGTCCCTTAGACTGTATTTGATTGTATCATTAAATATGCTGTCCTCAAATATATTTCTCAGGAAGTAATTCAGTTATAACCAGTTAGTTTTGGCAATTACAACATAAAAGAAGGTTTAAAAATATCTGAATTTGAGCATTTCTATCTCTCATTAGCCACTAATACTAGAGTTGCTTATATGTCCCTTTTGGGGTTTATTAACTGCTAAATATAAATTATTACTTTTTCTTCTTGGTAACTTAAAATATAGACACATGGCAAAAGCTCCACAGACTTTTAGAATGTTCTTAAACTTAATACCAGGAAACCATTAAGTTCTACTCTCTGTTTAAACAAGACCTTTGGCAGCCGAGCAGCCTGTCATCTCCGGGACACATCTGAACACATGGTTTACTGGGTGGAGCATGGTTGCATTTGGTCTACAGAGTAAACATCTCCCCCAGGGATGTTAGGGAAAATATGACCGAGGAGAAAGGACATAGATGAGACTGAAGGAACCCACATGCCTTATTTTTTAGTGATGGTTTGAATGTACTCATTACTTGGCACCAATCAGACATTAATCAAGAGAGGCCACTGAAGATCCCCCAGAAGAACAGGGAGAAGTGGAGAATCAGTCAAACTAGTTCAAGTAAACGGACTTCGAGTGTTCCTTATAGCAGTCAGAAGTTAAGTCTGAGCGCAGGAGAATATGAGGACGCTCACTGATACATTTCGTGAAGCGGAATGTCGTTTCTGTACCACAGTCCCTTATTTCTTAGAGAAAGTTTATTGACTTGTTTTTGATAGTTTTTCTTTCTTTCTTTCTTTTTTTTTTTTTTTATCCTCACTGGAGGACATTTTTCTATTTTTTGTTCAGATAGAGTGGGAGGGAGAGAGAGAGAGAGAGAGAGAAATATCGACGTGAAAGGGACACATTGAGTGACTGCCACCCACACAACCAACCAGGGCGGGGGACAAACTGCAACTGAGATACGTACCGTTAGCGGGATCCGAACCCAGGTCTCTCTGGACCACAGGCTGATGCTCTAACCGCTGAGCTGAACTGGCCAGGGTTTGATAGTTTTTCTTACCCATGGCATATGTCTTATACTTTTCCAGTTCTTAACTTTCAAGTTAACATCGTGATTAAATTATTTCACACCGCATGTTAGGAGCTAGTTTTAGAAAAAGATGGTGTTTTTTTTGTTTTTTGCATTTATCATCAGGTAGAGCGGGAGGGAGAGAGGAAGAGAGAGAGAGACACATCGAGTGGTCACAGGGACAAACTGTAACCGAGGTACCTGCCCTCAGCGGGAACCGAACCCGGGACTCTCTGGTCCGTGGGCCGATGCTCTAACCGCTGACCCAAACCAGCCAGGGCAGAAAAAGATGGTGTTTTTCAAAAATTTATCTTTATTGTTGAAAGTATTACAGATGCCCTGCCCCCTTTTCCCCTCCACTGATCCCCTCCACCCTGTTCTCACCCTCCAGGCCTGCACCACACTGTTGTCTACGTCCATGGGTTATGCATGTGTTTTAAATACCACAGTCAAAACAGCTGACTTTGTTTCTTTTCTTTTCACCATTGAAACATCATTTTGATAATGCCTCATAAACCTTCAGTTTTTAGAAGTTAATTTATGGCAACATTGTCATTTTAGCTGTAATAGTAATTAAAAATAGAAATTTAAAGTGTACTTCGATGGCAGAAAATGTTATAACCATCCTACCAAGAAAGAAGACATTCTAGAGAAGATGTTAGCACTCGTGAGAACAGACTATCAAAGAAGAGAAGTGATCATATTTTCAGAACTCCAAATTAGACCAATCATTTAATACAGGTGTTAATTTAAAATCACAGTCCTTGGTTTTTTATTTACAAATGCTGGTTTAAAAGAAGACCTTCCCACCATCAGACTGAAAGAATGTCAATATAATCTTTGAATAACGGTTCAGACTTATCAACAGTAGGCTTTTTCTTCTCACCACTAGTATAAGGTCACTTTGTGGGTGTGTTGGAATTAAGGCTTGTTAGATTACATTTTTAATGTTGAGATTTTCCTTTCTTACTTGTTTTGTGGACCCAAAGCAACAGCCACACTAATATCTGAATCTTGTGTTTGGTCAACCTTAATTTTAAGAGCCATGGATTAGCATGTCACATCAGACACACTAAGGACAGGAAAAATGCAGTTGTTGCAGCCATCCTATGAGTACGCTGAGGAATTTTGGTTTAGACCATTGATTTTTTGACTAACTGGGGCAATTGAAAATCTCCAGAAAAGACTGAATTCATACCTAGATATTCCTTTTAGAATACAGAAGCATATGCATGGGCATACATACACATACCTAATATGTACATATAGTGGCACATACCTTCCAGTATTTGATGTTTAAGCAAAATATTCCCAGTGTTTTGTTCTCCACTATGTTAGAATAATTATTCTAAGAAATGGACATTTTAGTTCAGGCACAGTTTATCTAAATAATATATGAGTTTATGGTTTTGAAATTCTTATTGCTTTGATACCCAGTGAGCTCCTTGTTTGTAGTTGTTCTTGCATGCCTTTCCCTCTGCACTGACTGCTGACTCAGCTGAGGACGTAATGAAGGGACAGTCAAAACTGCCCTTGTTGTAGCTATTGAGCAAATACTTCCTTCTTTAAAATGCTTGTGCTGTCTTGCAGTTTGTGATGTCTGGCTGGGGTACAGGTTATTCATTTCGATGCGAAATTGTTGACTATTCACGGTCGCCTACAGCGTTGAGGGTAAGTTCCTCTTTGGAAAAACTTGTAACTCAAAATCAATGTTAAAACTTTTTGGACTCTATTTGTAACACTTAATGTGAACTCAGAAGGAGTAAATGACTCAATTATTAGAATATATATATTGAAAGAAAAATGCTAAAATTTACCAGCCAGAAAGAATCAAAGTAATAGATTATTATATGACCCAGCAAGGCCACTTCTGAGTATATATCTAATCCTCACCCGAGGACATTTTTTCATTTTTTGTTCAGATAGAGTGGAAGGGAGAGAGAGAGAGAGAAACATCGATGTGAGAGAGACACATCGAGTGGTTGCCACCCACACAGCCCAACCAGGGCCGGGGACAAACTGCAACCAAGGTACATGCCCTTAGCGGGAACCGAACCCGGGTCTCTCTGGACCGCAGGCCGACGCTCTCACCGCTGAGCCAAACTGGCCAGGGCTGAGTATATATCTAAAAGAAATAAAAGCAGGGACTCAAAAATATATTTGTACACCCATATTCATAGCAGCATTATTTACTGTAGCCAAAAAGTGGAGGTAACCCAAGCGTCCATTGGCAGATGAATGGTTACACAAAATGTGGTGTATACATACACTGGAATATCATTTAGCCTAGTAAGGAGGAAAGTTCTGACACATGCTCCAACATTCATGAACCCTGAGAACATACATTATGCTAAGTGAAATAATCCAGGTGCAAACGGACAAATACTGTATGCTTCTATTAGATGAGGTTCCTAGAGTCAAATTCAGAGACAGAAAGTAAAATGGCCCTTGTCGGGGGCTATGGGCAGGGGAGATGAGTAGTTATTTAATGTCTCCATTTTGCAAGATTAAGAGTTCTATGGATGGATGGTGGTGATGGATGCACAACAGTGTGAATGTACTTAATGCCCCTGAACTGGACAGTTAAAAATAGTGAAGATGATAAATTTCATGTTATGTGTATTTTGCCAAAATTAAAAAACAAAAACAAATTTTCCTCCATATTAAAAAAATAAAATGAATTCATATTTATGTGTGTTTCTGCAGATGGCACGCACCTGCTGGCTTTATTACTTCTCCAAATTTATCGAGCTATTAGATACTGTGAGTATGTAGTCACCTTATTTGGTAAATGTTTGATGTTTCGATGAAAGCAATAAACTGCTCGAGTTCAGTTGTCTGATAACTTTGGTTATCTCTCCTCTTCAGGCAGACCTACCTTTTATTGTCAGTAATATCAGAGTACATAGAATAAGCTTATTTTTTAGTTTTGCAAACTCCAAAAGATTTTCTTATGTATCTACTACCTGTTTAAGATAAGCATGTATGTGTCACATACACTACAAAACTGCATCTTCGTATAGATGGATGACAGTTGCATTGAGAAGCACGTTTAAGAAGCAAAGAGAATGCCTTACCTTTAGTCCTTCTTACAAAAGCACTCTATCATCCATACCCCTTTAAGAGGATCAATGCTTCACAATTCACAAACTTACACAATAATACTAAGTTACCCTGGCATATCAGTAATTTTGATAATATCAAAAGTACCTTCAGCTGCCCTGTGAGTCCTCTCTGTGCCTGGGGATAAACTGAATTTGGGTGACTAACCCTGAGAGAAGCAAGTGCCATAGATTAGGGCCCATTAGGAGAGGAGAAGGGCTTGTGCTTTTGTTTCCAGAGTAGGAAAGCTAGGTAATTATTGTATCTTTGTGGCATGTGGGTCTTGGTTAACTGGAACCAGTCCTGGGCCTAAGTATGTTCTTTCTTCAGAATATATACCACCACATTTCTTGTAGCAAATCTCAACATGCTTTACTTTCTCAGATGACTTTGCATAATGTTAGAATTGGAAAGGACATTAGCAGGCATAGAATCATTCCTGTGTTTTTTAACTTTAGCATACATTAGAACCACCCAGAGGGCTTGTTAAAAACACAGATGCCCATATCCCAAGCCCTAGTTTCTGATTCAATAAGTCTTGGTTGGAACTCAAAAATTTGTATTTCCAGCAAGTTTTCAGGTGTTGTCATTACTGTTGGTCCAAGGTCCACACTTTGAGAACCCTTGCTTGTAGTCCAGTGGTTTTCAACCCTCATTATGCAGTTGACTTAATTGTATGAAAAATCAAAAAGCCTCAGCCCCATCTGGAGATTTGGGGCTAGATGGTCTAGAGTAAAGACCAGGCATGGTTATTTTTAAAAAGCTTCCAGCCAGAGTTGAGAGCTATTGATATATTAAAGTCCAAAGCTCTCAGTCTGAAAATACAACGAGCCAAGAGGTTAAGTGACTTACCCAAAGGAATGCTGCTACTGAGGGGCTAGGATCCCAGATTGCTGCTTTATGGCATTTTTTTGTTGCACCATGCTGCCTTCTCTCATATGCATAAGCAAATGCATTTTGGCTTCATTGTTTCTGCTTTGCGTGTTCTCAGGTTTAGCTTCCATAAGGCAACAATTGCTGCCTCTGTGTCTTTACTGAAACCAAACTTCTAAAATACTCCTACGAGTACTTTTGTTTCTGCTACTTGTCTCGTATTTCAAAGTCTAACTCATCAATGCTCTCCTGAATTTTGAGTGTCTTTTTGAACATTTGATTCTGCTTTTGAATATTTTTTTGGAAAAAAAACGTTCCCCCAATTCTTTCTATTCTGTGCCTTTGTTTGCAGAGTTTCTGCAAGCCACTGGATACATTCAACCTGGACGAGCCTTTGTAGCCTTTCTCGTTTTCCCAAGGCAGCTTTGCTCTCTATTCCCCAATTAACTCTTCAAGATTTCCCCTCTTCATTTATCTTTAATAACAACTTGCTAACTTCTTATCTGTTGAAAGTCCTCTTTAAGATTGCTTACTCCCTTACCTAAATTGGAAGGATGTGTTAGAGAGCAATGCAGAATAATTTCAGTCCTAAGTATTAAGATCCCCTGCCTTCCCATATACTTCAAAATCAATGTGGATTTTTTTTAACCAATAACATTTCTTTTGATAAATTTTGGCCATAGTCTTCACTTTATATCTTTGATTTTCAAATCAGCATGCAATTTCTTGTTTAGCTTTTTCTCAATTCTCTCATGAGTAGGCATCATACCTAAGTTCCTTCATACTAATTAGCGTTTGAACTGCGCCTTGGAGTAACAGCTGCTTCTGTGAGCATTCTGAGTCAGTCCTTTCAAAGCAAATTATGATGTGAAATCGTTTTCACTTTGTCAATATTTTTATAACTCTAGAAATATTATTGCATGATTTTATATGAACTTGATTTTCTTTCAATTATTTCAGGTCTTTTTTGTTCTGCGTAAGAAAAATAGCCAAGTGACTTTTCTGCATGTCTTCCATCATACCATCATGCCATGGACCTGGTGGTTTGGAGTCAAATTTGCTGCAGGTAGCCAAGGGAGAGTTGGGATCATTTATTATGAATAATAACATTTTTGTTTGCTATAGACACAAAATCTATCCTTAAGTGTGATTTAAGAGAAACTCAAAACATCAACAAATCACTTTGATCAAACTTCTAAGTTCCATTTTTCCTTGAAACCTAAATGCAGGACTCTTAACCAGATCCTTCACCAACTCTCCATTCATTAGAAGTTTTGGGTACAGTCTTCTATATATGGTTTCTAGTTGTTTTGTTTGGATTTTATTCTTTTCCCATGGAGTTCCATTAAATATCTTTAAATAAATAAATAATTAAAAATATACAAAATGGTGAAAGTCTTGGTTTAATAGGGATATATTTAGATATCTATTCCTTATATGTATGTATCCAGAGTTAGAATGTTTATCTCAAGTTTCATGTCTTCTTTGCCTTCAAATTTCTGATAACTGATACATACTCTAAACCCTAACAACTCTTTAAACATGTGTCAAATTACAGTTGTCCCAACTTTTTAAAGCATCCTACCGTATTAAAAGATGTTTTGATATTGTTTAATTCAAAAGTTTGGCAGACAGGATCTTTTTTTTGCTTTGGGTTTTATGCTTCTGAACATTTAGAATTGGAAAAAATAAGAGGTTAAGTAATTTTACCTTATCATAAAGTTTTAAATAAGCGATCTTTCCAACATATTCTTATCTTATTAGCAAAAGTTGTTTGTGGGAGTTATTTGTGCTAGTTTCTTAAATTCAGGAAGTCTTTAAATAGGTCCGCAGCCCATATTAGACTATGTTGTAACATTTCTGTGAATGGCTCACTTCTGTTAGGCATTCTGACTCTGTAAGACAAAAAATAAAAAAAATAGAGGAACCACAATTGAACTTTTGTTTGAGTTTTAGACTCTCTATGCATGGTGGGGCGGGGGGAAGGTGGGGGACAGGGATGATGCATGTCTCATGTCTCAAAGCATAAGAAGACATGGATAAGCCAGTGGCCCCAAAGAGATGCCAGAACCTCCAGGAGCCAAGGGAGTGGCCCCTATCATATCCACTGGCATCAGATTTTTCAGTATGTAAAGTATCTCCTTGCCCCAAATTGGTATCTATCTGTTGAGCATTTTCAAAGAGTACATGTAGTCATTTTTTCTTATATGTATGTTAATGTAAAAATGTAACTCATGTTACAAGATAGTCTTATCTGTGTCCATTTCACAAATCAAGGGTAGCTATATTATTTAATCTCCACTATTTTACATATCTTTACTTCCTTTTTTTTTCTTCCTACATGTATATTGTGCCTCTCAGTTCTTTCTACAGTGATGTCATTGACATCTTTTTTGTCTTGATGGAATACTGAAAAACATCCACTAATTGAATGGTTATTTCTTGTGTGTATATAATTGTGAAATGCAAATGATATTGAGAGACATTTAGCTTATCTTTTAAGCAGCCTAACTCTTAAATTATTTGAAATAGGTGACTATTCTATTTTTAAAGTGTGCTAGAAAGATTCTTTTACACCCATATAATTTATTTATTCATATTTCTTTTGTGAGACCAGAATATTATCACAACACTGAAAAATATATAAAAATAGAAAAAAATTTGGAAAGCAATACCCCCAAATACAATGATTTAGAGATATTGACACAAAAAGTGGTTTCTTATCTCTGTATTTCATAATTTTTCTGCATTAAATATCTATTTATTCTGTAATGGGAAAAATAAGTTTTATTTGAAAAATGGAGTTAAACACTTTTCTAATCTCTATCTTTGAATCTGTTTCAAAACAAACAGTGTTTTCAATAATGAAAATTTAAACATGATATACCTCAAATTTTCAATGTTACCCTGTTTATGGACATCAAGCACTTTGTACTGGGTTTGATGTCCATTCCTTAATCCCCTTCTGCTTTTCAACATGTAAATAGTAGAAACTAATGTGTGTTTTTTTTTCCTCTGATGTTCCAGTTGGCATTTATGTTTAGCCTTCATATGGGATCTAGGAAACACTTGTACACCTGATATCTATTCAATGACCAGCACAGCAATAAGAGCTGGGATATTTCCAGAGATGTGGTTTGGCATTGACTTTCGTTCCTAGATGAAACTGCCCATTTTAAACGGTTCTTTCAAAAACTTGAGCATAACTGATCTCTATCTAGTATTCAATTTCCTGTTTGCCTGTTGTACAACTCTCTGGGTTAATAGCAATCCAGCTTTTTTTTTAACATGATGAAAATATTTCTGTGACAGGTTTTTCTATTAATTATGCATAAACTCTCTTCTAGAGATATGGAGCATTATAATAATTACCAGGTGATTCCTTTATCTTTCCCAAACCAAAGGAGTAAAAGATGATGGCACTAGTTGTAATTCATTCTGAGGTGTTTGCTTTTCAGAACTGTTATCACAAAGGCAGCAAGCATAGAAAATACGTTTTAGAGAAGCCTTCCAAAGAACATATGAAAAACATTACTAATTAAAATATAATTGTTCTGGGGAACAAACTAATTAAAATAACTTATCAGGAATATAATAATGAACTAGAGAAAATAAGCAAGTTTATTTTGATCAGTAACCCTTACTAAACAGTCTTAGCTACACTAGTGCTTTGTTAAATTCTTATCCATAGAATCCTTGTTTTAGGGCATTTAAATGATGAAAGCTTCTGAATGGGAATATGGACATTCTTATACCAAAAAATGGAAGTGGGTCTTAATGAGACAGGCTCTGAAGTAATGTAGTTGGTTATCAAGGGTACAGTAGATTACCTGTGCACATTTAATCGTGAGACACAAATAGAACTGAGAGGTATTTGGCTTATCCCTCTTAAGCAGCTTGATTCCTAAATTATCAGAAATAGACAACTATTCTACTTTTAAATTACCCCTAGAAAATGTGTTTTCACACCACTATATTTATTTAAGTTTCTTTTGGGAAAGAAGACTAATCCAAATGTAAATAATAAAAGCTGGGAGGTTGTTAATAAACTTCATTAATTCAGTTTCTTCTCATTTGAAATGTGTGATCATTAAATAATTAACTAAATTTTATTTATTCAGGAAAGGACAGTTTATGAAGGGATAGTACATCATAAATCAGGCACTGGAGGAATATTTAAACTACTTAAAAATAATTATTTAAAACAGGTTATTTTAAGGAAGCATGTTAGCAATCATAGTGTTTAGAATTGCTGTGGGGAAATTAGAAGATGAAAACCAAGATAGGAAGGCAATTTATAAAAATCAAATGGAAGAAGTAAACAAAGGTGGTTTAACAATTAATGTTTATTTTTTTTATTTTGGTAAAACAATAATTGATGAAAATGAAGTTAGCATATCTTACTAATGGAAGCCAGTGGTTTTACTGCCAAAGTTTTGAGGTATTAAAAATATTTATTGAAAATTGAGAGTGAAACCCTAGTTGATTTAGCTCAGCGGTTAGAGCATCAGCCTACAGACCAAAGGGTCTTGGGTTTAGTTCCCAGTCAAGGGCACGTACCTGGGTTGTAGGTTTAATCCCTGCCTTGGTCAAGATTATTTGGGGAGGTAACCAGTTGGTGTGTCTCTTCCACATTGATGTTTCTCTCTCTATCTATCTCTTTCCCCCTTCCTCCCTCCCTCCCTCCCTCCTTCCCTTCTACTCTATCTAAAAACCAATGGAAAAATATCCTCAGGTGAGGATTAACAAAAAAAGAAAATTGAGAGTGGAAAAGTGAATTTGATTTCACACAATGACATGTGCAAAAGTATTTTTAGTGGTTTTATTCATAATGACCCAAAATGGAAACAACCCAAATATCTTTTAATAGGAGAATGGATAAATTCAGATGTATTCATATAGTGTAGCACTACATAGCAATAAAAAGGCAAACTACTAATATGCACATCAACATGGATGAATATTAAAAATACGTTGATTGAAAGAAAGTCACAAAAGAATATATCCAGTGTAATTCTGTTTATATGAAGTTTAAAAGCAGGCAAAACTAGTGGTTGATTATACAAATCAGAATAAAGGTTACATTGTGAGGAGTGTATTCTTTGAGAAGGGGATATGGGAACCTTACCTGGTGTCACAAATGTTTTATATCTTAAATTTGGTAATGGCCATGTGGGTCTATGCATATGTAAAAAAAATCTTCAAATTGTACACTTATGATTAATGTACTTGTGTACTTTTTATATGTTAACCCTTGCTAAAAGTGAATTTGATTATTATTATTTAGTAATATATCATGTTTAAAAAGAAACTCAACTTAGATTGCTAAAGTAAACCCAAATCATAAGCCCATCTTAAATCAAGATATAAACGGAATAAGGGCATGATAATTTGTTTTCTAAAATTTGTATGTTATATTTTACTAAGTTAATGTATTATCCAGCTCCCTCTACTTTGATGGCTATTTAATAAGATTAATATTTCACATACTGTGTTTTTATCCCCACTAAAATTAAAGAAATAAATATACTAAAATCTCAGTTCAAACAAATAAATGTCTCATTTTAGGAAGAGTACCCCCATTTTACAATAATTTTATTTTCCAGGTGGTTTGGGAACATTCCATGCCTTTCTAAATACAGCTGTGCATGTAGTCATGTATTCCTACTATGGACTGTGTGCACTGGGACCAGCCTACCAGAAGTATTTGTGGTGGAAAAAATATTTGACGTCATTGCAGCTTGTGAGTAATTAATTTTCTTTAAAATGATATATGAAACTAGAGTCACTTGTCTTCCCTGTGAATTAGGGTATTAACTAAATAAAGAACAAAGTTTACGGAACAATAGGGATATAAAGTGTTAGCATTTATATGGCATCATGTCATCATCCTTACTATCTTATTAAACCGTGGTCAGGAACTTTACTGAAAACAAGACATACTTTTTGGCCAAGAGGTTCAGACAATTAAATCAAAATGTGTATCTATATTATTTTATGCATTTATATAAAATACACATTTATAATCAAAATAATCTCAAAGTTATGTGAACCTCAATAGGTATAATATTAAATTAGAAGTTAGAAATTTCATATTCTAGATCTGAATGACCTTGAGAGAGTGTAACTTTGATGAGCTTACCTATCTAGTCCTCACATTTCCAAGTCTATTTTCCTCCAAGAGTAAAAGTACTGTGAGGATTAAAGCTGTACAGTGGTGGTATGATAACCAGTCATAAGGAAATGGTGAAATAAATTACTTTAATTTCTACTTTGGAACATTACAAAGTCATGAAAATTATTCACAGCTGCTTTCTTTATAAGTGTTTTTTTCTTCTTCTTCTGATAACGTAAATTAGAGCACTGTCCTCAAGTAGACAATGTTCAGAAGAGCACAGGCACTCAGTTTAGACCTAATAATACTTTCCAAACATTAATCCTAAAAAATATATGGCATATAATCTTTTTGAAGAATAACCATGGGTTGAGATGATGATTTTTAAATTTTGTCTTCTATTAAAATAAAAATTCTATGTTCCTCAAGTTTCCAGAATTAGTCTATAATAATTTAGTGTTACATCCTGCCAATAACACTAAAGAGAATATGTGAATTTATGTATAGATAGCCTGTTGAAGCTCAGTTTTTATTAAATCCTACAACTTGTTAAGTGAAATTCAGCATATTTATATAATGCCTTCTCCCAGGTGAGAGACTGCTATTTTAGTCTGTAGGGGTGTTAAATCAGTATCAGAGTATATCCTTGCAGAGTTGTTTATTGTATTTAAAACTGACAACACCTTAATAACCAACCCTAAGAAATGGTGCAATACATTATTTTAACTCCTACTTTGGAATATTATGAAGTCATAAAAATTATTCATAATTGCTTTCTTTTAAAGTATACTTTCTGATTTTATTTTATTTTTTACATGCCCCTAGCGGGACCCAAACCCGGGACTCTCTGGTCCACAGGCTGATGCTCCAACTGCTGAGCCAAACTGGCCAGGGCTACTTTCTGATTTTAAAGTAATACATGCTCATTGCAGAGAAATAAGAACATCAAGTTAAGCAAAGAGAAAGAAAAATAAATATAATTTCCCCGCTAAGGGACAATCAGAGCTGATATTTTATTTTATTCTCATCTAGCTTTTCTCCTCTATGCATATATGTGTGTACCTTTTGCATGATATATATTATATTGCATATAGAATTTTGTATTGGGCTTTTTTTACTTAACATACTCTTAAATGTTGTAAAGTCTTTTTAATAATGTAGGAAAATACTTATATAGAAAGAAGAGTAGACATTTGTTCATTATTATTTTGCATGTATCAGTTATACACAATCACACGTGCAAAGAATGTTGAGGATGTTGCTTAAGCCTCCTAAGGTTTCATTTTTTCCCTCTGCAAAATGAGAGGAATAATTGTAGCTACTGCACAGGAATGTCATAGAAGTTCCTTAATATAATGCAAAGAAAGTTGATGATGATAATAAAAGAAACTATGTGAAAAATCTTAACTGGGTAACAACGGATGGATTATGAATAATTGCTATTTTTATTTATAGATTTTTACTTTTCCAAAATTTCCACAGAATGCATTTCTCCTTTTAATAAGGAGAAAAAATATATTCAAAAAAATCTGGACATTGGCCAGAGGTGTCCCCCTTAAGACTGTGTAGAATGTTCTGGAACACAGAGTCCTTGGGCATCACTAGTAGGGTCCCTAAATCTGTCTCACTCCTTGCAGAGTGTCTGCTGCTGTTGGCAAATAGGATATATTTTTATCTATGACAGTGGAGGACAAATGGCAGATATAATAAGTCAGAGATGCTTTGGCTTCTACAAAATTGATGGGGCATAAATTAGAATGTTTTTATTTCAACCAAATTGAAATGCCTGGTCTAACAACAGACTATTTGAAATTGATACTGTCCTAACTATTAGACCATGTGCATTTCATCAATCAAAGACTCATGTCAAAGACTTGCAGGCCCTGTTGGTTCTCTGAGTATGAAAGGGCTGCTGCATTGCACAGCAGCAAAGACATTTGCATAGCTCCACCAGTTTCCTGGGACTGAATAACGGTTCCAAATTCCCATCTGGATTTGGACACTGTTCTACCCACTATCGCTCCCATAGAGGCTCCCAAAGATAAAATTCCCTACCCAACAGTAGCCTGGAGGTGGTTGGAGAGTGTTTAAACATAAGCAGGCAAACAATGCATTAAATAATTGCTCCATTGTGACTCTTCATATCTGAACAATATTTTTCATTCTTTCATCTGTTAGGTCCAGTTCATTATTGTCACCATCCACATAGGACAGTTCTTTTTCATGGAGGATTGCAAGTACCAGTTTCCAGTCTTTCTGTACATCATTATGAGTTATGGGTGCATCTTTTTGCTGCTCTTTCTCCATTTTTGGTATCGTGCTTACACCAAAGGCCAGAGGCCGCCCAAAACAGTGAAAAATGGAATCTGCAAAAACAAAGATCACTGAAAGTCAAGCACAACATGAATCTATGAATGAGACTGACACCTTGTCTTCCTTGACAATCAAGAGATATATCTATGTGCAGTGCATTTTGTATATTTTTCCAAAGCAAGAGCTTGTATTTTTATGATAAGTTATTGGGGTTTCTGATATTTGAGAGCCCAAACTACCAGATAACAGAGTCTTCTGATAATTAGAGCCTAAAGCAGCCAGTTTTTCAGCTGTTTGTAAGCCTCACCCAAAGGTTTTGTTTAACACATTTTGTTAATAAAAGGATCATGTGAAATAGTACAGTACTTTTCAAAGAGTTGGGTATAAATGAAAAATATCATTAGATATTTTGAGTACAGACAGGGGTCCATGCTGTACAGTGGATTCCTTCCGCTGGGTCAGAACCTCTACCTGTGGGCTCTGGCTTTGTAGCTTGTGGACTGCATTCAGAAGGCACTGTGTTTATTCTAGAGTTAAATTCCCACTCCAGAGAACTCACAAAGTGAACATTAAATGAATTTGGGATAAGTTGTCGTTTAAAAACACTAATAATAATTTTTAATGGGTCTCTTGAGTAGTCGCCACCAGTTTTGCTGATAAGACTTTCTCGCAGCCTTTTGTTGCATGAAGTGTTCAGAAGTACCAATCTTTCGATGAGCACAATGAGGCACTTAACACTAAGGTTAAGTAAAAAAAACAGGTGGTTTGTTCTCATGGCTTAATGAACACTTTGCTATTACTGTTTTTCAATTATCTTTGTATATTTCTGGAAAGAGGTGAATTTGTCAATGGAAAAAGTACTGTGTAGTTCACTGGGAAAAAAAATCTGTTGTCTGTTGTATTAGGATGTCACTTTCTTATATTGTCATAGTTTACAAGATTATCTTCGTTAAATATATATTGGTTAGATGTGTAGATGTTCATGTCATTAACATATTGCAGGTACCCTCAAATCATAAATGATTTTAGACCACTCATCACAGTTTCCAGAGATGTGTTAGAGTGGCTTGTGAAATAATTGGAGGCAATAGTGACACAGAGATTATCCAGGGAAGACTTAGTTATATAAGGGTCTCTCTCAATAGTGAGAGAGAGAGAGAGACCACACAATAGTAATTGTTATAGATATACTGCATGAAAAAATATTTTCCAGAATTATTAACAGCCTGGGTTTCTTTTTTCAAATTTATAAATTATATAATGAAGGACTAAAATTCATTTTGCATAAGTTTCATTTCTTTAAAATTGCAACTTTCTAATATCCTCTTGTTGTCGAGACCAAACTAATGGTCAGTAGATTTTTTTATCCAAGACAAAATTTGGACATTTAAAATTTTTTCTTATAGCTTGTTTTTTTCCCCTGTTATATTTATACTCGATTTTTGAAGGACTGCTTATGCTTGTATTACTTTAAAAAGTTAGTACTTATAGGGCTCAGTTATTGTGTAACGCACAGTGGTACTTACTGTGCAACAAAGTCTGAGTGTTTACTCATTGTAAACGCCTATATTTCTGTGTCTTCCCCAGTCTGTTAATCTATACCATGGCCTTTTCACACTTACCAGATTCATAAGGTATGTGCCTTTAAGTGACCTTTAGTGACTTCACTTGCTTACAATATAAAAAGATGAGAGTTGAAAATGAGGAGGAATTCCTATTTTTAAAAATAAAGAATAAAGAACAAGAGAGCAGAGCTGAAAAAAAACTACAGGCCTGATTTACTTCTCTGAGGGTCTCCGGATTCCTTAAGTGTTTTCCTGTTGCGGCTCTTCAAATCCAATTTGTGCTCAATGAGAGGTGTGGTAGGTGCTGTTGTATATACATACAATTGCCAAAGACCCCAGTAGGGTAAAGACCAAAAGCAAGCAAAAACAAGAGAAGATAAAACAGGAGAGTTTGACTTCTTTCCCCGCATACTTTCTGACTTGCATTGTACAACCTCTCCTAACCACCCTGTAGCTAACAGCAACTTGTGATGGAAACATTCTAAATGATAAAAATCGAAGTGCAGAGCTAGAATGTTACATGAACAGAAATCACAGCTGGCAGAAGCGTCCTCCACGCAGACATCAGGTCAAAATACGTACACTGGTTGTGGACTTTGCACAGGCAGGGTTTTATCAAAGGGCTTTGTGGGTCACAGAGTGTTTCTATTGGGGTTTTGTCCCACTTTTTCAGGACTTTATTGCCTTTAGATTTGCTTACCTAACAAATAAAGAGCCCAGTTAAAAAATCTGGTTTATGACATAAGGCTCTAGGAATCCTTGAGAGAGCCTATATATTGTAAATAAATAGAAATACAAAAATTTAAATATAAGGGACATTGCAATTTTACAGTCTTAATTTAGTAGAATTCTTAATTGAGTAGACTACATTGTTACCTAAAATTTAAGATTAGAAGGTTACATTTTTCTCATATTATCCCTTATTTCTGTCATTTGTTTAAAGACTGTGGAAAACTCTGGATATTGTTAAAGTTTTGGTTGTGTTGTGTGTGTGTGTGTATGTGTGTGTGATAATAAATCTGTGGTATTACGTGTATGTATGTATGTATGTATTACAATAAATTTATTATTTGTTATATTACATGTGTGTGTGTATCTTTCATTTGGACTCTAACTGCGTATGTTTGCATGGGTAGGTTTTTTTTTAACCTGAATGCTCATTTAACCAAAACATTTTACACATTTGTTGTGTGCTTGCTATGTGCAGAGCTGTGCTAGACATGAGAGTGATACAAAGATGCCTCCGACACAGTTGGACCCTCCCGGAGCTTACAGACTGGTAAGGGCCCTAAGATATGATGATTGTCATGTGAGTGAAAAGCTTGTCACCTGGCAAGCAGGGAAGGCTCTCTGAAGGAATTTGAATTTGACTTCTGTGTTTAAGATGTACAGAATTTCAAAATTGGTGCTGGGTTCATAGGCAAGGTGTACTCAGTAAAAAGAAGTAACAAAGCAAGGGCCAGGGGGAGGAAAGTATTAGAAAAGTTGAGGGAATGGCCAATGGACAGAGTGAGGCTTCCTGTAGGTGCTACGAATAAATGAGGCCAGAAAGGGAGGCGGGCTCTGACCTGGGGGACATGTAGCTGCAATATCTGAGCTGATTCTTTAGGGAGCATTCAGTGGTTTGTGAGAGAGAAGAGGTGTGATTAAAGTGGTACCTTGAGAAGAGTCATCTGGTGGGGTAGGGGAATGAGACACTAAAGACAAAGATAAATAAGTCGATTAAGGGTGATGTGAAGAGAGCCACTGTGTGTGATAGAAACAAAGAGGCTGATGTGTGAGAGCTTATGATGGAGAGTCGGATGTGTATGTGTACACAAGAACGGTATGTGTAGCAGGGTTCCCGGGAAGCCGTGTGGCGGTGTGGAAACTGGTGAATCCGAAGCTGTGAGGCATGGATGTTAGATGCCAAGTGATCTTGGACAAGCTTGTTAATCTCCCCCAGCTTTTGTTTCTTCCTCTATAAAATGAGAATACCAGTGCAAGTTCTTCCTGCTGAACCGTTGTGTGGCTTAAATGAGATAATATATTTAAAAGCCCTTTGTAGTAATATGAAATAAGATTTGCACAGAGAATACAGACTCAGCAGAGTTGGGGCGGGGAGGATAAAAGTGAGTCCCTAGCTTAAGATAGAGCAAACATACGGTTCTCTCCACTCGAGGTAGAATATGGTATGTGTTACTGGGGTGGGGTGGGAGGGATGTTCCAGCAGATGCAACCACAGGGGAGCAGCCTCACAGAATGTCCTGTCCAGGCTGCACCAGAGAAAGGACCAGAGGGCTCTGCTTTGATGTGGCCATCTGGGTATGGTCCTGGCTTTAACTGACAGGTGGTATCAGGTCAGGCTATACATGTACATATAACCCCAAAATTCTTGCAAACAACAACACTACTAACATCCAAGAGCCTTTGTGTCTATATTCAAACTGCAACATGATGAAAATATTGCTGTACCTTGCCTATATTCTAGTATTCAATTAATTCAGGGGACAGTCTGTTTGCTGAAGGGAGGAAGCTTGTTATGATAGTATTGACTTAAAGTGCCCAGCACACAGGGGGGCATTCTGTGCCTGGAAATCCCGGCTTCAGCAGGACTGATGGAAGCACCTGGCTGACGGAACGTGGAAGTGTGAGCTCAGAGCTGGTCCCTCTACCTCAAAAGCTGTGCAAGTCCTTGTCGCCGTGTCTTCTGCCTGCTTTGTGTATCCTTCCCATGAGTCTGTTCCTTTCTTTTTATTCTTGTGTTAAACATCCCGCTTCAGACCCAGGTAGTTTTGTCTAGGTTATAGGATTATCCTTGGTTTTAATACATTTTTCCCCAATACAAAACCTTTTGTCTGAGTGGGCTGCTCTCGCGGAGGGGAGCGTGGGGCAGTGGTTGAGAACACAGACTCTGGAACCTGTCTGCTGCTCAAATCCTGGCTCGGTGGCTGACCAGCTGTGTGGCCTGCACAACCTCTCTACGTCTCAGGTCCTCACTGAAAACGGAAACAGTGACACTACTCCCCTTACCGGTGGTGTGAGGAGCAGATGAGTTGGCACCAGAAAGCGCTTGCAGCAGTGCGTCCGCGCTGGTTGTTCGGGCCAGCACGTGGGCATTCTCCTCAGCTCTTCCCTCGTTCTCTCACTCAGCCTCCAAGGCTTCACCTCAAAGTGTAACCAGCATCTGACCGCCTCTGGGCCCTCCGTATGTCCTGCCTCGATTTCTGGAATAGCTTCCTATCTGGCTCACTATTTCTGCCCTCACTGCTTACAATGCATCATCTACATCGCATTCAAACGTAAATTAAACCATGTCAGTTTTACTCAGAACACTCCAATGGCATCTGATTTCACCCAGAGAAAGAGCCAGAGTTGTTACAATTGTCTACGAGGCCTTCATGATCTGTCTTCCACCTGACATTGCACCTCTGTCCTCACTTCTTATGACCCCCTGCCTTGGCTCCCTTTTCCCCAGTCACACTGGTCTCCTTGTGTCCACTGGGCCATGGTCAGCACATTCCTATCTTAGGGCCCTGGGTTTAGTTTTTGCCTCTGCCTGAAGGACTCTTTCCCAAGTGACTACTTGGCTAAGCCCCTCACTTCCTTCAGTCTTTGCTCAGATGACACTTTTTCAGTGAGGCCCTGTTTTCTATCACAATCTGCATGTTAATCTGTCTTTACTTTGCTCTTTCTCTCATACAGCGCCTAGTACCTTGTAACATGCTATACAATTGGCTTAGCTGTTACTTATATTGTTTACTGACTGTCATCCTCATCGGAAAGGAGGGTACCCTCGCCACGCTCTCCCTCTCAGGAGCACACCCGTGCCTTGCCCTTCCCCCTCCTCGTCCCTCACAGGCGTGCATCTCCTAAACTCCCAGGGATCCCATGGAACTTGCAGCCACAGGAGCGATGGGCAGTGGCAGCTTGTTCCGGGCTCAACCCCAAGGCCCCTTTTCCTCTGACCCTCCAGAGAGCTGCCAGCAGCCCCGCCTTGGCCCACTTCTTTCCCATGACATTCCTAGAGGCCAAAGCAGCCCCGCCCAGCCTCTCCTGTTGCTTCTTCCCTCCTTAGCCCTTCCTTGTTTCACTGTCCCCAGCTTTAATAAACATACTCTCAAAATTAAGAGGAAAAAAAAACAAAAACAGAAAGGAGGCTACCCTTGTCCTGGAGGGTAGACACTGGGTGGTTTTGTCCACTGCCAGCATGTAGAAGAACAATGGCTGGCATTTTGCAGGAGTGGAATGTCTCTCAGCTGGAATCTGTCAGGTGTTTTTCTTGTGATTAGATTAGTTTTTAGGAGAAAGACAATAGAGGTAAAGTATTCTCACCAAGGGTGTCATATCAAGGGTACGTACTATCAATATGACTTTTCACTATTGATATTAACCTCAGTTACCTGGTTGAGGTAATATTACTGTTTTTTTCCTCCTTTCATGCTTTATTCTTTGGAAGGGAGTAACTCTACTGACATAATTAAGGATACTCCCTTGAGGGCAAAGTGTCTGCATAAATTATTTATAATTCTTCTGCGTGGGTAAGTTGCCTATTCTATTATTTATTTAATCACATATATTATTTATATTGTATAGACTCATGAATATGTATTTTATACTTTGGGTCATAATCCAATACA